ACAGGAAAGGCAGTAGGCTTTATGTAGGAACACTAGAATGTGTACAGGGTCTGTGTATGCGTACGTGTGTGTGTAAAATATACACGTGTATGTTTCACATGCACCTCCACACAGAAATATGCAGGGGTCCCTACTGTTGCAGGTTGGTTCTGTACCTGATTCTCAGATACAGGCATGAATGAGAGGGATTTAGACTGTCAGTTGCTTCGAGATGGTTTTGTGTATCGCAGTGGGTGGATGGCTTCCATACGCTAATGCACTGCCGGCCATATGTTGCACCTCGGAGGTGCTGAGCATCTTCAGCTCCCTCTGGTTCGAGTGGGACTTGCTCAGCACGGCACAGGAAGCCTGAGCTCCACAGTGCCTCGCACAATTGCACATGCTGCTCGCTAGCGGCCTTAGCAGCCTCTTAAAGTGACAGGTCACAACAGAATCTCCTGTAGGCTGCTGGTTCTGATTGAATTCTTTGTTTCTGCTGCACAGACATAGCAAAGAGTGTGCCCAGCCCCAAGAAGCCCTGTCTAAGAGCAGGATTATCCCAGATGCTGTGTGTGCAGGAGGGCTTGATGGCTAGCTGGGGAGGGCACCATGGAAAAAGTGGTTACTCGTGGTGTTGTCATGATTTTCTCCCCCATCCTGAGACCCTCCTTTCTTGGAGTCCCTGAGTGTGGTTTGAGCATTTGGTCTGCTAAACCCAGGGTTGTGAGTTCAATCCTTGAGGGGGCCACTTGGGGATTTGGGGCAAAATCAGTACTTGGTCCTGCTAGTGAAGGCAGGGGGCTGGACTCAATGACCTTTCAAGGTCCCTTCCAGTTCTAGGAGATGGGATATCTCCATTAATTAGAGGAGTGTAATTAGAGTCCAAGGACTGTAGGGACAGGAGAGGCTGGAGCACCATTCTTGGTACTTCTTGCTTTATTGTCCCCGACGCAGCCCACACTTGCAAGTGGCAATTTGGTTGGGAATTCACGCTGCTTGGACTAGCATTAGCTCTGGGCTACTGCTGCCCAGCTACTGAGGGACATGGTCAGCGGTGGGAGCACACCCGAAGAAGCCATGTTGCCAGGGTGTGGGAGAAGCTAGCAGACAGCTCCTTAGATCCTTGGTTCTCCCTCCTTTCCAGCTCCCCTCCATCCCCTCACCTCCCCCAAAACCCTCCCACTAGAGGGGACGGTTGCCTAGAAACTCCACCAAATGAGCTCTGATTTGTTTCCTGGCCTCTCTGGCTCCTTGCTAGGGTTTCTCTGCAGGAGGGGAGAAGCCATTCCTATGTTACAGGTGTTGTGGAGGGAAGAAGTGATTGCACTCTGCTGTTAGACCCACAGCAAGGGCAGTTCAGATGTCTACTGGCATAAGTTAATATGCAGTAATTGGTTATTGTTTCTTGGGTTACACTGGCCCATCTGGTGATTCTTGGCCAAGGGAGAAATGCATTCTGAATTTGTGTATTTAGACATGCGATTTCTGTGTATTGGTTGGTCACTCACTTTTATTTTTCCACAAAATAACTGCTGGCGCCAGCCATATCTCTGTGACTAGCAAGTGCTCTTGACTTTCTCTCTGAGGCTGAATGTATGAGGAAAAGAGGCAGCTAGGACTTTTTAAAAGCAACACCATCAGGTCACGTACGGTCTCAAGTGTAGGTTTCCCAAAGCACTAGGCCAATGGAAATGTTTCCTTGGAGTTTTTAAATATAAATTCCCCTAGGAAAAATATTTTTGGTTTAAAAAAACAAAAGAAAGCCCCACCCCACTCCACTGCAGAGTTTGCAACCCAAACAAGGCAGCCGCCTGCTAGAGCTGGAGAACTTGAGAGTGACACTGACAAGGAATAGAGGTGAAATTGGCTAGTTCATTTCCCAGGCTGGGAAAGTTCAATCAGTGAACAGCATAAAGGGGGAGGGATTAAAATGGAAAGAATTTAAAAAAAAATTAATATAGGTCAGGAATTGTTTTAATGCCTTTTTTACTCTGACCATGTCCCTTTTAAGACTTATAGGGACATGACTTTATAGATTCATAGATTCTAGGACTGGAAGGGACCTCGAGAGGTC